TCCTCCCGCCGCCCCTCACAAACGGCCGCCGCGGGCGCGAGGGGGCGCTAACGGCCCCCCCCCCCCCCCCACCTCAGCCTCCATCCCCGCGCGCCGCTTCCCGCCCTTTTCCTCCCCTCAGGGCTGAGGGTGGGAAGGGCCGGGGGTGGGTGGGGAGGGGGGGGTGTCCTCTCTGGGTTCCTTCGCTCCCGTCTCTGACCCGCCCCCTCTCGCCCACACCCCGGTGCTTCTTAAACTGTTTAAAACATCCTCCTTCCTCACTCGCCCAGGGCTTTGTTGGTTTTTGGGTTTTTTTTTTCTTGCTTTCAGGCCGTTGAGGCGCTCGGTGGCGAAGGAAGGCCCCCCCCCCCCCCCCGGGCCGCCCCCCCCCCACCCCAACCCCGCCCCGCTGTCACCCCTCGGCCTCACGTCGCTCGCACATTGGGTACTGAGCTTTGCTTTTGAGTCTCAAGTGGTTTTTCCAGCTGTGGGACGAGGAGAGGGAAGTACAGGGGGAGGAGGAGGGAGCGGGCTCTGTCGTGGCTGTGTCAGTGCTGAACCTGCCCAGGGCTATGGAAGGTGTCCCTACCCATGGCGGGGGGCGGAACTTGGACCATCTTTAGGGCCCCTTCCAACCCAAGCCAGTCTGGGATTCTGTGATTCTGTCACTTGTTGTGAGAAAGACTGAAAGTAAGAGCCGGGCACATCCTGTGGCTTCACCTCCGGAGGGGCTGAAAGCACTGGGTGTTCTCCAGCTGCAGGTTTCTGGAGTGAGTCATTATGGGACGCATATTTTTCGGCTTTAAACCAAAAAAAAAAAACATCCCTTTTAGTACCTGGAAGGGCTCCAAGAGAGCTGTGGAGGGATTTGTGACAAGGGCTTGGAGTGGTAGGACAAGGGGAATGGCTTTAAACTAAAGAGGGGATATTTAGATTAGATATTTGGAAGAAATTCCTCCCTGGGAGGGTGGGCAGGCCCTGGCACAGGTTGCCCAGAGAAGCTGTGGCTGCCCCTGGATCCCTGGAAGTGTCCAAGGCCAGGTTGGACAGGGCTTGGAGCAACCTGGGCTAGTGGAAGGTGTCCCTGCCCATGGCTTTAAGGTCCCTTCCAACCCAAACCCTTCTTGGTTTCCAAGGTTCTGCCACTTGCTGTGCCTGAAAGTAAGCTCCAGGAACGTCCCGTTGGCTCGACAATAAAGACAAATGCCACAATATTCCTGTGAATAACTTTCAAGCAGGTTATATATATTTTTGGAAAACTTACCAATGACTTTGAAACTCTTAAAAGTGTGAATATTTTGTTTCTAGTGCAAGTGATACAAAAACACTCAAGAAACTGAGAGGAGGGTCCTTGCGTTTTACCACACCTTACATCCTGAGATGCTCCGGACCAGGAACGGTGGCCGAGCTTCTGGTAATTGGTTAAATTATATTTATCATAATTGTCTTGATCATATTTATCACCCCAAGGCCATGTTAATGTCCAAAAATGATGTCGTAGTATTTGCATAGCAAATATGGAACCAACCAACGCAGGAATGAGAGTTATTTTTGTAGAGAGCTGTGAAAGTTTAACTCAGTGCTTCCATGTAAAAAAAAGGCACATAAGTTACAAATTTCCTTTAATGAAGAAAAGTTTGCTAAAAATAGACAAAAAAGTTTGAAAAAGAAGGTATCAAGTTATTGATGGTAAACAGTTTTACTCAATAGTTCTTTCTTAGACCAAGAAATTAGGTGATTGGCTAAGGTATAAGAACTATGTCAGGGTTTTCATTTTTAATGTCCTTGAGCTACTGAGCAGGACAGAACTGGGACCACCTCAAACAATCCTGTGTTCCCATGTGCTGAATGTTCTCAGTTTTACTCAAAGCGAGCATTTCACTCTGGTGCCGTGCGGGCAAAATGATTCAGTTTTTAACGTGTCTGCTAAAAACAACTCATTTTTCAGCCTGAACAGCCTCAGTTCCTAAGGATGTTTATAGCTCATTTCACATCCTGCACAGGCCCAGCTTGTTAATTATTATTAAATAATATCTTTACTATAAAGCTTTGGCTGCAGTTCTGAATCTTTATAAACTCTGAGTCCATGTCTTTAGCCAAATGACTCATTTATTTTCAAATCCATAATATTTCTAAGTCACAGATTGACAAATCGTCATCATAGTCTTGTAAACTGGGTGAGGAGGGAAGGTTTTTAGGAACAGGGTGTGTCAGGGGGAGGATTTATTAGGACAAAATGTGAATTCAGATATTTGTGCTTAAACCCTGGATTACTGGGGTTTTTTTGTTAATAGAAGCTCTATCGGTAGGAAATAATAGAAGATGAAAAAAATTAACATAAACTCGATCATGGTATGAGTAGATATTAAAAAGGTGAATATTTTATCCTAGAAAATATGTAGAGAGACTTCCAGGAGTCCAGAGTCAGGTGAAGGACCTGTGCAGGGCTCTGGAGAGGAGCTACCTGGGCTGCAGAGCACAAGTTCTGTCTCTGATCTTTAAGGTGAGTGATCCAAAGCTGGGATCACACAAAGGAGGGGCACAGTCAGCACAGTGGTATTTTTACAGGCTGACAAAACCAGGCTCATTTGATTTCTGCCCTTAAAATAAAAACAGAAACAAGACACATGCGATTATCTGATGGTTAAAGTGATGGAAAGTAAAGATTTACAGTGGAGAACAAATCTGGCAGCAAGAGAAAATGGACATGGATAATCCTGAGGTGGGAACCAGAAGTTTTTGATTGTCACACAGTAATCCCAGGGCTTCCTTAGGGCTCACAGGAGCAGGAAACCTTCCTAATTCCTTCCTAAATGGTTCTGGAAAGGGGACACAGAGATTGTCTGGAATAGCAGAGAATTGGGCTTCATTATCCCACATAACTTTTTTTTTTCCTACATTTTATTTCTAGAATCATTTTGCAAGCGATGGAAAAGCAACAGTTTAAGAAGGAGTCGATGGCAGCACACAGGAAGTGAGTAGGAGAATCATGTTTCCATGCTGTTATCCCACACCTGAGCTGTGGTAATTCACACTCCCTGCCTTTGGATTTACATCCAAGCTCGGATCCCACTTTCATTTGCCACTTCAGTAACTGGGCTTAGGTTGGAAGGGACCTGTAAATGTCACCTGGTGCCACCCTCAGCCACAGCGGGGACATCCTGCACCAGGTCAGGTCCCTCAAAGCCCCATCCAGGCCCGGTGTTTCGTGAGCCTCTTTCAGGATTCTGTGCTAGATATACAAAACTCATCATTTAACAATTCCCCGTTTGCTTTATTTTATCAAAGATCTTTGCACTTGATTCTCTGCTAAACAACAACGCTGTTCTGTCAAGAAAAACAGCCGGCTGAACCTAAGTTTTATTTACTCTGTCGTTTAACTCCAACACACAGCCTGAGATGTCTGAGGGCATGCAGTGCACGCTCTGCGGGCTCTGATGCCCTTTGTCCTACCGAAGTGTCTGGGGGCTCTCCCAGCCCCCCAAAACAGGCGCTGTGCCCTCAGCCCGAGGGGCAGGAACCTGGCAGCAGCAGCAGCAGCAGCAGCTCCGGTGTCCCGGTGCCGCTCGGTGCCGGCCCCGCCGCCCGGCGCCGCTCTCCGCCCGCCGAGCCCGGGCCGGATGTCACGGAGCGGGGCGGGAGGCGAGGCCGGTGCTCCCCGCCGGCAGCGCCGAGCCCGGCCGGGCAGGTGGAGCCGGGACCCGCGGCCGGAGCATGGAAGGTGAGAAACGACCCCCGCTCTTCCCTCGCGGACCCCGGGGCCCCGCAGCGGCTCCACCGCTCTGGGGACCTCCAGCCGCTTCTTGCTGAGAGCAGACCGCGGGGCTCCGGAGGAGCGGTGGAATCGCGTGTAGCAATTGAGCAGGAAACGAGCGGGGCTGCTTGACCGCTCTATGTTTAATTTCAGAGACATCACGGCGAGTGTGGCAAAGCCGGGGTTTAGGGCCCTCTTTCTCTGCTGGTCCTGTTCTGGGTTTTAACGAATTCAAGGGTGTGTTGGTTTCTTTTCACTTGTATGTGATGTTCAGAGCCAGCAAAAGCCAAGCTGGGGAGTTAAATCTTGGGGTGCAGAATGATTCCCTTTTGAAGCAAAGCAGCATTTCTCGCGTTTTTAACAAGCCTGGCAAAGAAGCTCTGCAAAGCATCACTTGGCTTCTTAATTCAGAGGTGGAGATTCTTACTGCAACTCAGAGCTTCGGGGGCTAGAGTTCAAACTCTGCTCAACGACTTGAGCAGTTTGCTTATTTGAAGTCAGCTGCAGTTACCCATTTAAAAATGCATTTTGCTTTACTAAAGGCTTTCTAACTGTTTGTATGTAAGTAATCGCTCATTGAATCTGACTGAATTGAGACTATCACTGCTTGAAAGACGGAACTAATGTTTTGAAAGACTGGATTTGGGGGCAGCTTAGCGCTTAAAAATGCAGCCTGGTTTTCTTGATGGAGTCGGGATCGCTGCCTTTTTGGGAGAGAAAACTTGTGAGGTAGGTGAGAATAGCCTGTGATTAGAAAATAATGTCTCACTACAGCTGAGGTCATCTAAGAAGTCCCTTTTTTTTGGCTTTCTTGTTTCTTGTGCGGTCCAAGTGAACCTGGAAATAATCCTGCGGGTTTTGGTTCTGTGTGTGAGGAGGATGAAGATTCATTAATGTGCCCGAGGCTGTTACAATGGGGATGAAATAGGTGCCATCCCTGGATACAGTAACTGCCAAGAGTGTTTCTGTGGGTCTTGGGAAAATCTCAGTTGCTCCGGGATCAGCAGGGAATTTGCCTCTGAGGACAGAGGGGGAACTCTGCTGTCCTGGATTTTCCATGCCCAGCGTGAGGAGGCCCAGCATGGTCACGGAGCAGGAGATGGGCCCTGGCCAGAGTAGGTCGTTGTTAACTTGGTTCTCCCTGTGACTAGTTTGGTTTTGTGACTATCAAAAGAACTGCCCTGCTGTCAGCTCCAGGTGCTGGGATCAACCTGTTGGATCAAGGGTTGGGCTTCGATGATTCTGGTGGGTCTCTTCCAACTCAGGATATTCTATAGTTTGGGATGTCCTGTGTTGAATCACTGAATTATTCTGCTGGGTTTAGGAGGTCGCATGCTATGGTATGAGTGTCATTTCACACACTGCACGGTGCTTGAGAGCAGCAAAGTCTTAGAGACCCCACAAAGAGTTTATTTGGTCCAGGTGCCTTCTTCAGAAAGCCATGGAGACTGTGGGTGCTGGACAAGGGTATTCAGTGGGGAAATCAGCTGTAATTTCTCTCCTTAATGGCCCAATGCAGGTTGGAGGTGAAAAACACATTGGGGTGAAAGAGGCTGAGTGGTGTAAGTAGTGTTTTATTTGTGGCTTGTTTGTGCCTCTTAAAATGCTGCAAAGACAAGGAAATGGCTGTGTTTGCTCCATATACTGTGATGGAAGCTCTAAGGGCAGATGGGATTTAAAAGCTTGTCCCCTTCTCTGTGCTGTTGGGTTGAAAGTTGCAGCTGGCAGGAAAAAAGGCGGATTTCTGTTTTCACTTTGGGGACAAACAGGTAAAATTATAACGACTCAAGAGGTACCTCTGTTGGCTACAGTTGAATTGAGGATTAGGAGGGTGTTAATGTTACCGTTGATTTGAAAAACAGCAGTTTTAGGGCAGTCAAAATTCGGGCAGGCTGTTCTGCTCAGACACCAGGAGAAAGCACGAGCAGTGTCGCGCATCAAAACGCCACAGCTCTTTTTTTAGCCAGCCATTTGAATATTTTGGCTCCCTTTGGCCATTGGTGCAGAACACAGGATGGCCAAGGATTGGTTTCGAAAGCAGATGAATTTTACTTCTGCTTTGTGAGGACCTCTGTGCCTCGGCTGCAGCGCAGAGGGACGGGCGTCCCCTTCCCATGCACCCCGGCCTCTGGAGCTCTTGGAAGCTCGGGAAGACGAGCGTGCTCTGTGAGTGATTTCCTGCCTCGTGCTTTTCTGAACCTTGCAGGGGAAAAAAATGGTCTTATTGCTACAGGATAAGGAATTTTCCCAGACCTTCCTCTCTGGCCTAAAATACTTGGGAAAGGGACCTGAGGTTAAATATTAAGGGGCCAGTAATGCTGTGAGAAGCTTCTGGGGCCCTGGTATTGTAAGGAAACCAGGTGCTGGTGAGGGGAGGTTGGAGGCTCGACAGTGAGACAAAGACCGGGATGTTTCTCAACCAAGATGAGGAACGTTCCATGGTTTGTCGTTGTTCTTATCTCTTCTGAAGGCTTGTCCTGCCCATCTTGGGCAGGAACCTGCTGGGCCCAACAGAATAGGAACAAATTCCTGGGGGAGATGGGGGTCCCAGGAGGGTGAGCAGGTCCTGCTCGGCTCTCGCTGGGCTCAGGCAGTGCCGTTCTCCAGCCAGTCATCCTGCACCTGCAGGGAATATCTGGGGAATCCAATGGTTCCGGTAAAGATACAGCTCTCCAGGAATATATGTGGAATTATTGGAATTGAAGCATCCAGGTAGGGGTTCCAGTTCTTCCTTCCAAGACCTCCCAGGAGAAGGCAGAGTTGCTGCCGAGGCTCCAAGCCTTGAGGGTCCATCCTGGGGCTTTGACCCTCAGCACTGAAATGGGGCAACTGCCCAGGGTTTCTGAATGCAATTAAAACTGAAATCAAGTTTTGCAGAATAATGGGGATTTCATTGTCTTGTCCAAAGCTTAATTATGTGTGCAATTACAAGAGTTTGTGTAGTTTAAGTGTTTGTATTCACAGAATCATGGAATGGTTTGAGTTGAGAGGGACCTTAAAGCTCATTCAGTTCTACCCCCTGCCAAGGGCAGGGACTCTTTCCACTCTCCCAGGTTGCTCCAAACCCCATCCAACCTGCCTTGGACACTTCCAGAGATGGGGAAGCTGCAGCTTCTCTGGGCCATTATTGAGGTGTAAAGTTAAAATCAACAGTAGAGAGAAGTTTGTTCCTGTACCCAGGATTTACTGATGCTTCCTCATCACAATTTGCTGTATAAATCGGTCCTTTTGCTTCTTTGCCCCTCGCTTTTCCTGGCACGATGGAATGAAACAGAGAAATTAAGGAGTCCCTTGATCCTTTTAATTTATTTTAAAACCACATATTTGGTAAATATTTGATCTCTTGGGCATTTAACTCAGTGACTCCTCACGACACAAGGCCTTCATTGTGTTGCAAACGCACCAACCCACCCTCCACTCCTGCAGCTTTTGGAGAGCCCCATCTGATACCAGGCTGGCTTGGCTGTGGAGTTACCAGAGCTTTATATTCTGACGTTGCAGAGACCACAGAAATGTTCCATAAGCAGAGGAGGTAAAGACAGATAATGGTGGGGTAAATGTCACCCGTGGTTAACACCTCATGCCCGCCGCCTGGGTGGTTCTGTTATGTAACTGCCAGGAAGGAATTTTCCCAGTCCAGGAGCTGCTGTTTGACGGGTACAAAGAGGGCAGAAGGTTTTCTGGCATGTGCAAGGTAAAGAGGAGGCACAGCTAGAGGAAAGGAAGGAGGCAGGAAGCAGGTAGATGTGAGTCTGTTAAGAAAATCAAGCTCCTATCAATGAAATCTCGAGGCAGTGAGGCCTTGAGTGGAGATGCAACAGGACAGCTCCTGCTCAACTCCCCAGCCTAAATTAGGGCACTGGGGTGGGAGATGGCAATACCTGCAGCCTGTGCTGGCTCCAGAGCCCTGCTGAGCCCTCTGGGAAACCAGGCCACACGGGTAGTCCCCTGAGGTATTTTTAAAATGCCTGGCATTTGATCCCTATCGGAATTTCTCAGTGGGAATTAGGCCTGCATTCCCACGAAAACCGAACAGATCTTGTGGAGATAACAGGGGTTTCCCTTTGTTTTGGGAAAGGAATGTAAAGCATCCTTGTGCTTTGGAGAAATTCCCTTCCTACAGAGTTACTACCACTGTGCTGTGCTCGCAGGGAGCACAAGGAGGAAATCAAAAGCATAAGTTACTCTGCTCTGTAACTTTTTGAAGTTAGAAAACCACACTTAATCCCTCTTCTGGGCACAGGCCAGTGCTCAGGATATGAAGGTGTTGTACGGTGAAACATAACACTAATTTGGTATTTATTTATTTGAAATCCTGCTTTTTCCGTTTTGCTTTCAGCCAAGAAACGGGTAATTTGAAAGATTTATACCAACCGTGTCACGAACCGACACCTAAAGCTGCTTTTCTGTCTTTTGCAGATTCACAGCCTGGGATGGACCTCAGTAACCCTCAGGAACAGCCCCTGGCTGCAGGTACTGTGCTGTTCAGTTATGTTCTGCCACCTTCTCTAGGCAATTTTACATTTAAATGGGGAAAAAATACAAGAGTTGCAGCTTGTTCAGGTTCCCAGGACACGGAATAACACAGTCTCAAATACAAAGTACTTGAAATAAAACTGTGGAAATTCAATATATATTTGTAAAATGACACTGAAGTGGAGAAAAAGACTGTATAGAAGGAAAGGAAAGTGTTTTCAGGAGAAAGCTGCAAGTTTTGATTAGGGAAGCAAGAATAATGTGATTCTCTTGGTTGACTGCATTTCTGAAAATATGAAAACAAACCTCCTGAGTGAGCTGGATAATAAGTGCTTCACTTTCTTGCTAACCAAAATTCAACCCTCCGAAAATGAGTTCAAGGGGTGAGAGTTTGTGTGGGATTTTGGGAACAAAATCATTCCCCCCCAAACTGCTACTAATGCATCCATAGGAATAGCATCGTGGGCACTGCCAGCAGTACTGGGAGGGTGCAGGTGCTTTGAGGGAATCACCTGGAAATATTTTTGGAGCATAAGTAGTTACTGTTTTGTTGGGTTTGTGTTTTGTTTGGTTTTTTTTTGTTTTTTTTTTTTCCACAAGAACAAGAGGATTTGACAGACTGTAACCTGAACAAATCCCAGGAAATGGAAAGCATGGATAACGTGGAAGACATGAAGGAGCACAATCAGTCTAACGAAGAAGCAGGAGGTAAAGTGGAGTTGGAATTCTGGAAAATAATAGTTATGTGTTGCCTTTCTATCCATCTGATTATGCTGTGAGATCATGTCTGCAAAAGGAATAACAACACAACTGGTTTGGAGCATTTCAACATGCTCTGAGGAGGAGCAACTGTTCTCCATCAGGGAACCTCCCGTGCATTTTACCAGGGTCAGTTTTACAGGATCTATGAAATATGGATGGGAAGATAAAAAGGGAAGTGCATCTGGAGAGCCTTTAAGGTCTGTGGTAACACACAGATTCCTAAGAGCCCTTTGCATGGACAAGCCCTGTCTTAGGGCTGCAGTTTTTTATTAATGCTGTTAAGTCCTGTCATACCTGCATTGTCAGGAAGGCTTTGGGGAGGTGAATTTACGGGGGCTAAATGAAACCATAAATGTCAATAAAACATCATTCCCCTCCACCAGCCGCCCTTACCATTAGAGCTCATTCATTATAAAGGGAGTGTGAACCTCCAGTCCTTCAGTGCCCCATCCCTTGATTCCCAGGGAATGAAGCCAGGATTGCAGGGAGGAGGCTGCTTCAAGTGCACTAAAAAGGTACCTGCAGCATCTCAGGGTAAAATGGCACGAGATAGAATGTACATTGTGTTTGCTTCAGTGCTTCACACACTGTTCTCTACAGTCATTCTGATACCGGAAGCACAATAAATCTTAAATATTTAAGCACTCTATGCTGGTGCTCTGGGCCCTGCAAGCAGCAGTAGGTGCATTTAAATTTCTTCCCAAAGTCACCTGTTTGGTTGCTGTTGGAGACTAAAATTCACAAATAATCTCAGCTTTAATGTTGTGGCCTCTGTAAAACAGCAGCAGCTCTGTTAGTCCTGAGCAGTCCTCGTGGGTGAGTGACTACTGTCTGACTTCTATAAATGAAACCACATTCTGACAGTGCTGCCCTGGTGGGAGGGTTATCTTTTTGGGATCACTAACCTAGGTAAAAACAAATATATAGTGTTCTCCACAGACTAGAAATATCATTGGTATCTGTGCTGGCTTTTGGGAAAAGGATATTATGTCCTGCCCACACCTGAAAAGTCTGTCTGGTTTAAAAAAAAAACCAACCCAAAACTATTTAGTACATTGAGGTGCTCACCAATTCCCTCATTACACACCAAATCTAAAGAGAAATCATGAAAAAAAACACCTTTCTGTGGTTCTCATAGTCAGTAATCACTCCTGTGAGTGAATGAGTGAGTGATTCCCAGCTCCTGGCTGATGACAGCCTGGGACACACAAACCTCTCCCCCTTCCCTCCTGAACCCCCACACCGTCCGTGCCCCCGGGCTTTGTTCCATCTGCTCGAGGCCATCATGGGAACTGACTCATGGGGAGAGATCAGGCCTGTGATAACCTGCTTTCCACTGCCTTGCTGTGCCTGGAACATGTTTGTCTCCAGCAGGGCTGTGTCTGGGTTTTCCCATCCCCATTGCGCAGGAATCTCCCAGTTTCTCGGACTGCACGTTTTTGTGACTCTTGTGTTATTCTCGGGTGGCACTGAGTACGTAGTGGGGATTTATTCTGAGGCTTTGAGCAGAGGTTGGAGCTTGTTCGAGTCTAGGTGTTGTCTGACTTGGTTTGGTGGAGCCTTCTATGCTGAAAGTGGCGCTGGGATCATTTTAAAAACCTACAGAGAGTTCATAAAAGCACTAAATTAATGTGTAGGGCCGAAACGACATCTCCAGTGCTCATTTAGCATGAAAAATCAATGTTTTCAGCAGTTCTGTATTTATACTTCTCTGAACACGTGCAAACTCCAGCTGATGATGTCAGCAGATACCTGTGAGGTACCTGACACAGGTGAGAAGCCATTCCAGGAAAACCCCTGTCCTATTGCACCCCCCATTCTCAGGGCTCCCAGCATGATGATGGCTGGGTATCGGGCGAACAATTAGGCAGAAGGCTCCGGTAAAATGGTAATTAAAATCTTGATGGGGGAGAAGGGGGGGGGGGGGGGGGAAGAAACAAAACCCCCTGTTCTTGCCTCAAGGGACTGGAAGCTGCACGCTGTGGTGCACATGGTGTACGCTCGCCTGCAACCATAAAATACACCGTTCCCATGGTGCTTCCTGTGTCTGGTCTGAAAAGAGACGAGCAACGAGGCAGAATGGGGGGGGAAGCACTTGATTTCCCCTGTTTCCTGATGCGCCCCCAACACTGTTACCTTCGGTGGCCGAAGCTGTGACACGGCTTAATTCAAAAATTAAATTAAAAAAAAAAGGGGCCGCGCTCTTTCCTCGGGGAGTCCCAGTGTTTAATTATGGCTTAACTCCCCCAAGCTGTTGAGGCAGACAACTTTTTTGGGGTGTTCTGAATGTCAGCGAGCTTTCCTGGTTGCGAGCCAAGCAGAGATAAAAGGCACGTTCGCGGTTTATGGATGTTAATTGGTGCTGCTCGGAGGTGTGGGAAGGGGGGCGGTTGAAAGGCTGGATGAGGCGGGAGAAGGTGGCAGGAGCCCCGCTCGGGCTCCGGCGGTGCTGCAAGCAACACGCAACTTATCTGCCTGGAAAGGAAGTGCCGTTTTTTATCGCAGTATTACATCTCCCAAGCCCAGCCCGAGCCCCGGCGCTCATGGGGCTCGGGGTTATCTCACAACATCAGCAGAAGTTCGCTGCGAGGGGATTTCTGTGGTGTTAAACCAGCAGGGAGTCTGTGCCGAACGGGTCAGGCCGCTGCTCTGGGGGCTCTGCCGGGGCTGAAAGGTGCGTTTTCCTTATCGCCAAACGATCCTTTTGAGTGTGTTTGAGCTCTTCCGACTGCACCGTCAGGGGCAGGAATGCTGCCAGGCACGTTCGGTGACATCCACGGGGGCGGTGGTGTCACAGCAGCCTGGAAATGATTGACACAGCCTGGACTGTCCTGAGCCCCCAGGGCTGGCAAAGGCACTTGGATACCCTCATTGCGTGGACAGAATCAGAAAGTGCAGCTATTTCTTACTCTAATTAACCCATTATAGTGATTAGAAAATAGAATTTGCTTTTGAGATATCCCGACTAGCAGTGGGAGCTCTCAGGCAGGACAAGGGCTGGAAGGAGGATTGGATGCACAGTGTTATTTCACAGATGATGGGCTTCTTTCCATAACTTTCATAACTTCATTTTTCTTCACTTGTTCTACAATGTGTATCTTGTGTTCATACAAAAAAAATTCCCTGAAGTTACAGGTGAGAGAAATGTTTATTCCTTTGACGTCTAAATAAAATCTAGTCCAAGGTAGGTGAGTCGTGTGGTCCCTCCCCACCTCCTCAGCAGGAAATAAGTGAAGAGGAAGAAAATGGCCCTGGGAAGTCAAATCACATGTTGTTATAGAAAATGATCCTTTTTGAGAAATACAGGTCAGTGGAAAGGAAATCAGCTAGTGGAGGTGAGTCATGTTTTGCCTCCAAACCAGGCTCTTCATTTGGCACAAAATATGATTTTAAGGCGCAGTTTTACTCTGTCCCGCTGGAGAGCTATGAGGAAGCAGAAATAAACCCCCAAGAGTCAGAACTTTGCTAAAATGATTCCCTGAGCGTTGGGATTGATGGGTCTCGTGTCTTGCTGCTGACTTTCCCCTGCACTGTGCAGAGTTTGCTCAGTGCTGTTTTCCCTGCTGCACCCACCTGCCGAGCCATCCAGCCGAGCTCCTCTCCTGGTGCAGGAGCTCCACCTCCAGGAGCGGCTCTGGGAGCTGCAGGTGCAGCGTTTGACAATCCTGAGCTGCCAAATCCTCGCTGAGTTTGTTGTCACAGAATGCCGGGATCGTTTAGGCTGGAAGAGCTGTAGGATCAGTGTCAGCAAGGGAACACAGAGGGGGTGCATCCTCTCTAAAAAACAAGGCTAAAAGTAAACCACGAGTATTTAATTTCAAGGACCTCGAGGAGGAGAGATTGTAGGTTTAGTCTAAAATTTAAGTGACGATTATTTACTACTGGAATTTTTTTTGTAGATGAATCAAATCAGTGCACTTCCAAGGATTTTGAGAACATCTGAACCAAGCTCCTGCCTTCAGCCTACAGGCCTTAGAATTCCTTAGATCCTTATCACAGATTTCCCTCTTTTTCATATTGTTCCATTCCTTCTCCCTGCCATGTTTTTCTTACCTGAACATCTTGCCTTGCCAGGAAGGCTTGTGGGAGGTGAATTCACAGGGGTTAAACGAAACCACACTTTTGAATTTCTCAGGTTTGAAGTTCATTTGAAGCTCAGTTGACCAGAGCCGACCGTGCCTGAGCGGTCACGTTAGTGATTGCTCCCTTGATATAAGTAACACCAGCGATTATCTGAATTTAACATGTGGCCTCTCTCAGTCTGACTGTTGGGTCCAGATGTTCTCTGATTAACTGTCTCATTGGAGTCTGATTTAACGGCTGTGATTGTATCAGCCCTGCTGGACTTCAGGAATTGTAATTTTAGCGCTTGTTTTCTCCGGGTGATCTTATCTGAACGGGCGAGGGAAGGGAAGAGCTCACGCAGTTTTGTCTCTTTCTGTGCTGTTTCTTTTTTTAAGAGGGAGAGCTTTGGAGGTGTTCATATCTGAAAGGATAATGGGAACAGGTGTCATAAATCAAACAGATTTCACCTGGGGATGTGGGGTGACATTCCCTCTGTGCCATCCAGCACTGGGAGCGTAGAAAATTGAGGAAAACCAGCAGATTTGGCACACTTCGAAAATTTAAAGAGGAAAAAAAAAAGGTGCCCTGGTAGTTTCAGCACAGCACTAACGGTGAGTTTTCTAGTCCCATTGTCCCAGGGAATCCCACTCTGCTCCCCCAAATTCTGTTTGTAGTGCCAGGTAAATGCATTTAAAAGCAGTTAAATTCCCTTTCCTTCCCTAAACCACGGCCTAGTGGCTGTGCAGTTTGTCTTGTTCGGCTTCATCTTTGGGAATGCTCAGCTTGGGGCAACATTTCTCCTTTTTCCCTATCTTTGTTAATACGACTGTGACGTATTTTGGAAACCTTTAGGATGAAAACCCTAAAACCCACTAGAGTCT